TTGCTTTATCAGTTATTCACTCAGGTTGGTGTCAAATTGCTTTATTAATTACCCACTCACATCGTTATCCAATTGCTTTATCAATTACTCACTCCTGTTATTATCAAATTGCTTTATCAGTTATCAACCCACATTATTATTGAGTTGTTTTCTCAGAGGCTAAACCACGTTATTACCAAAACATCTTATCAGTTACCAAATCCCGTTGGTGGGGGTTTTATCAGCTGTAAAATCTCGTCAGCAGCAAATTGTTCTATCAATTATCAAACCACGCCACTGTCGTTGGCGAGTGCCTTTATCAGTTATCAAACATCAATTATAAAATCACGTTATTGTAAAATAATTTCCATAAGTTTCCAGGTCACCTTATCAAATAGTTTTATTAATAAGTATTAATTATTTTAGTTGCATTATTATAAAATATTTCTGTCGGTTATCAAGTCCTGTTATCAAATAGTTTTATCAATTATCAAAATGTTTTATAAATTATCAAATAATTTTATCAGCTATCAAACCAGGCCGTTCTCAGATCACATCAGCAACTTGTTCTATCAATTATCAATTAATTATCACGTTAACCCACTGTTTTATCAGCTATCAAACAGCCTGGTACCATTGGCTCGTTGTGTTAATTATTTAATCACGGTTTTATCAACCTGTTTTTACCAGTTCCCGATTTCCACAGCCTGACTCCTCTCCTTCTCTGGGAACTGGAAGCTGCTCCGTGCTGGGTCCCTTTCCTGGAGTCCCTTTCCTGGGTCCTTTTCCCATGGTCCCTCTCCTGGGATTCCTCACCCTGGATCCCTCTCCAGGGTCCCTCTCCTGGGATTCCTCTCCCAGGGTCCCTCTCCTGGGATTCCTCTCCCAGGATCCCTCTCTGAGGTCCCTCTCCCAGGATCCCTCTCCGGGGTCCCTCTCCCAGGATTCCTCTCTGGGGTCCCTCTCCTGGGATTCCTCACCCTGGATCCCTCTCTAGGGTCCCTCTCCCCGGATTCCTCTCCCAGGATCCTTCTCTGGGGTCCCTCTCTGGGATTCCTCTCCCAGGATCCCCTTCCCAGGATCCCTCTCCCAGGTTTCCTCATCCAGGATCCCTCTCTGAGGTCCCTCTCCTGAGGTCCCTCTCCCAGGATCCTTCTCTGGGGTCCCTCTCTCAGGATCCCTGTCTGAGGTCCCTCTCCCGGGATTCCTCTCCCAGGATCCCTCTCTGGGGTCCCTCTCCTGGGATTCCTCACGCAGGATCCCTCTCCGGGGTCCCTCTCCCAGGTTTCCTCATCCAGGATCCCTCTCCCAGAGTCCCTCTCCCAGGATTCCTTTCTGGGGTCCCTCTCCCAGGATCCCTCTCGGGGTCCCCCTCTCAGGATTCCTCTCCCAGGATCCCTCTCTGGGATCCCTCCCCCGGAGTCCCTCTCCCAGAATCCCTCTCTAGGGTCCCTCTCCTGGGATTCCTCTCCCAGGATCCTTCTCTGAGGTCCCTCTCTGGGATTCCTCTCCCAGGATCCCTCTCTAGGGTCCCTCTCCCAGGTTTCCTCATCCAGGATCCCTCTCCCGGAGTCCCTCTCCCAGGATTCCTTTCTGGGGTCCCTCTCCCAGGATCCCTCTCGGGGTCCCTCTCTCAGGATTCCTCTCCCAGGATCCCTCTCTGGGATCCCTCCCCCGGAGTCCCTCTCCAGGTCCCTCTCCCAGGATCCATCTCCCAGAGTCCCTCTCCCAGGATCCCCCTTCAGGGTCCCTCTCCAGGGTCCCTCTCTGAGATCCCTCTCCGGGGTCCCTCTCCCAGGATCCCTCTCTGGGGTCCCTCTCTCAGGATTCCTCTCCCAGGATCCCTCTCCTGGAGTCCCTCTTCCAGAGTCCCTCTCCCAGGATCCCCCTTCAGGGTCCCTCTCCAGGGTCCCTCTCCCAGGATCCCTGTCCAGGATCCCTCTCTGAGATCCCTCTCCGGGGTCCCTCTCCCAGGATCCCTCTCCAGAGTCCCTCTCCCAGGATTCCTTTCCGGGGTCCCTCTCCCAGGATCCCTCTCCCAGGATTCCTCTCCCAGGATCCCTCTCCCAGGATCCCTCTCCCAGGATCCCTCTCCAGGTCCCTGTCCCGGGGTCCCTCTCCAGGATCCCTCTCTGAGACCCCTCTCTGGGGTCCCTCTCCTGGGATTCCTCTCCCAGGATCCCTCTCTGAGGTCCCTCTCTGGGATTCCTCTCCCAGGATCCCTCTCCCGGGATTCCTCTCCCAGGATCCCTCTCTGGGGTCCCTCTCCTGGGATTCCTGTCCCAGGATCCTTCTCTGAGGTCCCTCTCTGGGATTCCTCTCCCAGGATCCCTCTCCCGGGATTCCTCTCCCAGGATCCCTCTCCGGGGTCCCTCTCCCAGGTTTCCTCATCCAGGATCCCTCTCGCAGGATCCCTCTCTGGGGTCCCTCTCCCAGGATCCCTCTCTGGGGTCCCTCTCTCAGAGTCCCTCTCCAGGTCCCTCTCCCAGGTCCCTCTCCCAGGATCTCTCTCCCAGGATCCCTCTCTGGGGTCCCTCTCCCAAGATCCCTCTCCACATCCCTCTCCTGGAGTCCCTCTCCGAGGTCCCTCTCCCAGGATCCCTCTCCTGGAGTCCCTCTCCCAGAGTCCGTCTCCCAGAGTCCCTCTCCTGGAGTCCCTCTCCCAGAGTCCCTCTCCCAGAGTCCCTCTCCCAGGATCCCTCTCCAGGTCCCTGTCCCGGGGTCCCTCTCCAGGATCCCTCTCTGAGACCCCTCTCTGGGGTCCCTCTCCTGGGATTCCTCACGCAGGATCCCTCTCTGGGGTCCCTCTCCCAGGTTTCCTCATCCAGGATCCCTCTCCCGGGACTCCTTTCTGGGGTCCCTCTTCCAGGATCCCTCTCTGAGATCCCTCTCCGGGGTCCCTCTCCCAGGATTCCTTTCTGGGGTCCCTCTCCCAGGATCCCTCTCCAGAGTCCCTCTCCCAGGATTCCTTTCCGGGGTCCCTCTCCCAGGATCCCTCTCCAGGTCCCTCTCCCGGGGTCCCTCCCCGGGCTCCCCGTGCCCTCCCTCACGCCCGTCCTTGCCTTGCAGCCGCTGGAGCTGCTGTGTGAGAAGTCCATCGGGACGGCCAACCGGCCCATGGGCGCGGGCGAGGCGCTGCGCCGGGTGCTGGAGTGCCTGGCCTCGGGCATCGTCATGCCAGGTGAGCCGCCCCGGCCGCCCTTCCCGCCGGGAAGCGGCGCCGGGAGGAGCGCGGGGGGCGACGCGGCGACCGGGCAGCCCCTGGTGGTCCGGCCCGGCTCCGGGCGCGCCGGGCGCCGTCCCCGCCCTCGGGACGCCGGCTCAGAGCCACCTCAGCCCCGTAGAGAGAGGGAGGGACCGCTCGGCTCCCGGAGAGGTCGGGAGCAGCTTCCCGCAGAGTGTCCGTGGAAACGAGCCCGGGGAGTCCCACCCAGAGCGCCGGACCGTGGCCGGCCGCGCTCTCGGAGCGTTGCTGCCGCCCCAGGGGCTTTAGTTTAGTCGCTTTAGGGAGCCCCGGGATAATTCTCTGCATATCTTCCTTGTTTCCTGCCTTCAGATGGTTCTGGTATTTATGACCCTTGTGAAAAAGAAGCCACTGATGCTATTGGGCATCTAGACAGACAACAAAGGGAAGATATCACACAGAGTGCTCAGGTATAGTGTGACCTCCAGACCCTGCGGAATTCCCCGGCTCGCCCGCCGCTCCCGGCCCCGTTGGCCAACGTAGACTAGTGCCCCGTGGCCGCCGGTGGCCGAGCCCGGGCCGCCCGCACGGGCCCCGCGGGGCGCGGAGCTTGGCCTGAACCAGAGCAAAGAATCAGGTGTTGAGGAGTGACTTGCCCCCACCACCCCCCCCCGGCCCCCATTTTTGGGTTAAAGCCCCAGAAACGGTCAATCCAGAGGGTCCCGCGAAGGGCTGAGGATCGGTGTGAGGGCGGGCGGGGGCTGCGGGCAGCGGGTCCCCCGTGGCCCCCCGGCTGACACCCCGTCCTCTCCCCAGCACGCGCTGCGGCTCGCCGCCTTCGGCCAGCTCCACAAGGTCCTGGGCATGGACCCCCTGCCCTCCAAAATGCCCAAGAAACCAAAGAACGAGAACCCGGTCGATTATACTGGTACGTACTGGGAGGGGAGGGAACGGCCCCCGACCTCCCTCCCGGCTCGGGGTGGGGAGCAGAGCTTTGAGGGGCTGCTCGTGCTGGTCCCCCACAGTCCAGATCCCGCCCAGCACCACCTACGCCGTGACCCCCATGAAGAGGCCGATGGAGGAGGACGGGGAGGAGAAATCCCCCAGCAAGAAGAAGAAGAAGATTCAGAAAAAAGGTATTGAGTTAACGAGAGGTAGGTACAGACGGGGGGGAGTGGGGGCACGGGTGGGTGGGAATGGGGGCACGGATGGGTGGGAATGGGGGCAC